CATACTTATGTGGGTAATGCTAATGTCTGGGTGAAACCCTGTTCACGACTCCTTATGCAAGTGCCAGCGAAATAATTTTGTATGGACAGGGTGTCTTCAATGCCCATGAAGTCTCTCTCCTTCTCAAAAACGTGCTCTAGGAGTGCTGCACCATTTACGAGATTCTTGTGACTTAAAACACGAACCTGGTGGCCAGGAGACATGCCCAGTTCCTGGCTTTACTCCAGCTGCCCATCAGTCAGCTCTGCTGGCTATCAGCTGCCAACGCGTGTAGCTGCTGAAGCTCTGTTCACTGATATTTGAAAATGTTTGTTTCCATCTTTATTAAATCCACTGATTGAGAGTTCACGTTTCTTTGCTCATGTTAATTCAAAAGCTTCTTCCATGTAGTTCCAGTTTTTCTTTGTGTAGCTGTTTTACCTTTGTGTAGCAGTTTCCAGTCTTGCAGGAAAAGTCCCTTGGGGGTTTTTGCATCGCTCTCCTTTTTTTGTCAGGAGTGGCAGGGCTCTTGTTTGTTGTTTTTTTTTTTTGTTTTGTTTTTGTTTTTGTTTGGGAGTGATGGTTGTTGTTGGTTTGGTTTTTTTTTTGTTTTGTTTTTTTTTGTTTTTTTAATTCTTCTTCATTAGAGTAGTAGTATGTGGTGGATCATGTTCCTTGTGATTCCCTTTTATTTTTTTTTTTTTTTGACTGTTATGAATTCAGATGTGCTTTTTGACCTTTTCGTTTCCCAAGAATATAGAGGGGATTATAGGGGTAGCGATAAGCTGTATGTATGCTTTGTGGGGCTTTTTTGCTGATGTTTAACAGCATACAATAATAAAGTAAGCTCACATGGTTCGCAAACCAAATAGTGTCAACCAAAACATCTTTTTACGTAGGAAGATAAGCAAGGACTGCTACATCTACAACTGCCGTCTGCATTTCATGCCTTCTCTTGAATCCTAAGCCTGTTACTCTGTGGGCAGATCTACAGAGAAGAAAACCAACCAATCTCTTAGACATAAATGGAATAAGGCACAAACCAACCTTTAATTAATCCCTTAATTTAAGGTAAATACCTGCTTCAGAAATGGAATTAGAGTAGAACAGTAGAGGAATATGGGGAATCCTGAGCATGTGTCTAACGAATGACACTTTCTGAAGAGGAAGGTCATTACAGCCTTTTCCACATAGATTGAAAGTCTTTGTTAAATCATCAGAAAAGACAAGATAAACCACTTTAGCCTGTCTCTGGTTTGTCTTTCTTACCTGCTGTCGTTGAACTGTCATATAATAATGTCACGTAGGTTTGGGGTTTTTTTCTATGTAATTGCAGACAGATGATGTAGAGTTCCTTTATAAACTAGGCCAGGTAAATAAAAATCAAATATTCTTCAATAAGTAGTGTTCTCGAACCTGGTCAGCATTGGGATTTTATCTGTTAGCAGAAACAGAGTTCTTTATGGAATATTGACTAGTCTTTTTACGAGATGAGAAATTTTCCGGTGAGGGCATTATTAACCTAAGTCATGAATAAAGATGTGTTATATATCCAAAGAGAAATTCCTAATAAGATAGTGCAATTCAGTGACTGGTTTTCACCAGGAGCATGTCAATTCTTTGTTCTTCATTCAGCGTTTTGCAGCAGTTTTGCATTTGAGTAGATCTTCAATTTTGCATGAGGTATGGCAGAAGCGGTCTACTTACACTTTAAAATATTGATGGAGGTGGTGCATGCAAAATTCTTATAATTCTCAAAAGATGGTTTAAAGGAATATCATCTTGTTTTGCTGTTTGAACAGGTAAAACAGCTCAGCATGGTAATTTTATAGCCAGTAAGAAGTAATTAACTAGTGGAGGCAGACATTTCGTAGAGCTTTGAATGTGTCATGTTGATGAAATGTGATGAATTAGGGCTGATGATAATTATAATAAACTTGAGCAATAAAATCATGAGTATTAGAAGTCTTCTGACTCCTGTACTCACATTTTTAAGATGGAATTTTCATGTAACTGTTTTGTTCTTAGGTTTGAGATTTTTGTTGTTCTTTCTTTTTCAGGAAATAGTAAGTTTTTTAGTTTTTTACATTGCTTTCACTTGGTTTTGACAAATGGTTTCCTTCTTTTCTGGATAAGCGAAAGTGGGTAGAATATATGACTCTTTGTACTTCAACAGAAAAAAACTTTATAGAGCTTTCTTGAAGCTGTTTAATACTGGGAGGTTATTCTAGGCCTCTGCAAATGTATGAATTTTCCAGTAACGCCCTATGGTGGGTTTGACCTTGGCTGGATGCCAGGTGCTCATCAAGCTACTCTATCACTCCCCATCTTCAACTGGACAGGGGAGGAAAAAAACCCAAAAAACGAAAAGCTTGTGGGTCGAGATAAGGACAGGGAGAGGTCACTTACCAATTACCGTCACGGGCAAACCAGGCTCGACTCAGAGAAATTAATTGGATTTATTACCATTCAATCAGATCAGGGTAATGAGAAATAAGAACAACTCTTAAAACACCTTCCCCTGACCCCTCCCTTCTACCTGGGATCAATCTCACTCCTCATTTTCCCCTACCTCCTCCCCATGAACAGCACAGGTGGACAGGGAATGGGGGTTATGGTCAGTTCATTACATGTTGCCTCTGCTGCTCGCTCTTCCTTACAGTTTTCCCCTGCTCCAGTATGGGGTCCCTCCCACGGGAGACAGTCCTCCGTGAACTTCTCCAACGTGAGTCCTTCCCACGGGCTGCAGTTCTTCATGAACTGCTCCAGCGTGGGTCCCTTCCCCGGGCTGCAGTCCTTCAGGCACAGCCTGCTCCAGCGTGGGTCCCCCGCGGGGTCACGAGTCCTGCCAGCAAACCTGCTCCAGCCTGGGCTCCTCTCTCCCTCCACAGATCTGCAGGTCCTGCCAGGAGCCTGCTCCAGCGCGGGCTTCCCACGGGGTCCCAGCCTCCTTTGGGCATCTCCCTGCTCCGGCGTGGGGTCCTCCCCGGGCTGCAGGTGGAGATCTGCTCCCCCGTGGACCTCCCTGGGCTGCGGGGGGACAGCCTGCCTCACCGTGGTCTTCCCCACAGGCTGCAGGGGAATCTCTGTTCCGGTGCCTGGAGCATCTCCTCCCCTCCTTCTGCACTGACCTGGGGGGCTGCAGGGTTGTTTCACATATTCTCACTCCTCTCTTCCAGCTGCTGTTGTGCAGCAGTTTTTTTGCTCGCTTCAATCTGTTCTCCCAGAGGCCCTACCACCGTTGCTGATGGTCTCAGCCTTGGCCAGCGGTGGGTCCATCTTGGAGCCGGCTGGCATTGGCTCTGTCAGACACAGGGGAAGCTTCTAGCAGCTTCTCACAGAAGCCACCCCTGTGGCCTCCTCCCCCACCCCCCCCCCCCCCCCCCCCCCCCCACACCCAAAACACCTGCA